AACTGATCAGATGAACCCTTCTCTTACATACCACCGACTGCCGCTTCGTCTTTACTTGAGTCCTGAAATATTCAACAGTTTTTCAATTTCGAGATATCTCGATCATCCATTGATTTTCACCGTTTGAACATAGAAATATTTAGCAACAATTTGATCGCGGGAGTCAATTTCGTATCACTATACACGTTTAAAAAACGAGAAAATGCTGGTATTACCCCTCAAAATCATAACGATAATAACAATGGCAATATCGTGAATAATAACTATGTTGAAAATTCAGAAGAAGCAAAACAAAAACATTAAAGGCATTAACCTGTGCTGTTTTGATAGCGTTGGAATCGAACAGGGCGCATTCATTAAGTTCACTCAGAATATACTCCGACGGCGGGTAGTCATTTGCGAATGCCCGTCCTGTAATTTATTGAATTATTTCGCGATTGATCGTTCGAACAGAGGTGATCATATGTCAATCTCATAAGAATTTTGATGCGAGAGGAGCAATTGAACCGACATCCTTGCATGTGCCCAATGAGAGTAGATTTCATAGTTTCTGAAAAAGGGGAAATCTGAAAACGGAGCATATCTCCATGCAAACTTCCTGAAGATAATGATCATAGAGCCGAGCATGTCAGAGAACTGCACGTACGATCTATCGCTTCATTTTTACCGAGGCTGCTCACATTAGTTTAATGCGGAGCGGAAAAATGTCGGAGTCAAAAAAAATCGGAATCTTCCGGAGACGGGAAATTCCCCGAAAATAGCTGCGGTTGAAAAAAGAAGTCGAGGACGGGGAAAATCGGGGACTTTCGGGGACGAATCCCCGAAATTCCCCGCACCACACTAGCTCACACCTGTTTCATGAACGAATGTATTAGTGTATGGCCACCACCACCTCTAGCTAGTTCGACAGCTGGACGACAACGGCTTGTCTAATGGAGGTGATCTGATCCTTCTGTAGAACGCCATTAGCTACTTAACCGTTTTGGAGTGTATCATTGATGATGTGCAAACGCTTTTTAACATCCCTTCGAGCACGTTCACAAATATTTTCAAGCAATCGCGTTAAACGCATTGAACTGTGTTGACTTTAATGGGATTCGCATATCATGAATGCACATACATAGAGACACACCTTATTGAGCACATTTTTGTGTGCATTCAATAGCTTTTACTGTTATTGTCATGGTCACATGAAAACGTTGTGTTATCGTCTTATCATTACTGTTTTATCGGTATTGCTTTGTAGCACACTTCAAGAGTCTTCGCCATTTCTCAATCGTTCGATCATTTCACTTCAATGCTCCTCGATTATCTATTTGTTCGTTACATCCTTTAAGCACTCAGCAAAGATCTCAATTTGCCATATTAATACGATTAAATCGTTAAGAGCATCTTCTTTCAATCTTGTTTTGTTATATCATTGATGGGCACTTTTTAACGGATTGTGATAAATTCATGTTCATAATTCATGTTCACAAATTCATGTGTCACTTTACGATCGGACTTCC